TAAAATCAATATCCTTTAATCATTTTGAAAGCACAATACTTGAATTAACACGATGCCTTAACTTACATGAAATGCTTATGCTTCTTTTGACGTTTTTAGCTATAAATTCTTCTTCAATTTTCCAGTTTAAGTGTGAATGAATTAGTATGTCTGCGGCGTTTTACATCGATTACAAGCCCTGAGAAAAGCCGTAATTGAACACGTGTAAAATTACGATAATTTTAGTTGATCATATCGATGAAGTAATGTTAACGTTTGATATCATGTTTAACCCTTTAAACTGCACTTAAATTTGTTGGTGTTTGATTGAAACGCCTTCGTCGGTAAGTCTTTGTAAATCTGGTAAGCCTCAGGAAATGCTCGGAAACGTTCGTGTGGCTTTCAGGTAACTTTTGGGGACTCTGGAAAACTTCGGAAAGTGGTCGGAAAACTTCGGAAAATCGTCAAAAACGTCGTTATCATAACACAAGGTTGCTTGTAAATATGGAATTTCCCTTTTCGAGTTCAACTTTATATCTCACTTGTTAGCTGCGCTCGCTAGTGAGATATCGCGTGGAACACTGGAAGATAAATTCCATATCTACGCTCGCCCACGTCCCTATTTATCAAACACTAATAAATCCTAAATCATAATCAGCAACAAGTATTGGCATGACCGGTTTCCATAGAAACAATTCGACCTGAAAAAAAATGTTCAATTTTCCTTCAGTTTCAACCAAAAGCGAGATTTTTTTGTTTTTCGTGTTCCTATTATATTTCTTCTGAAGACTAAGAAATGACCGCTTTGAATAAGGTCTGGGTATAATTTTTTCATAATAAACCGACTATTCTGGCTTCTAAAAATTCTCGCCAATTTCCTCTTATTAATCATTACTTTGTCTTTGTTGACTAGAAAATATGAGGGAGTGTTTATCATCAGAAGAAATTTACCGTTATCTAACTAATCAGGCTTATATTTGCAGAGGACTTTCTGTTTATGAGAAGTTTCTACCTAACCCTAGAATACACAAGGTGAACATCTAACGTTAACGACTCAAAACAAGATAGCGAACTGGAATAACAATAACAAATTCTGCAGTCGTCGAGTGGGCTTTACAAACTTTGGGACAAACTGCTATGACGTATATAATACAAAAGAACCCTAAATGGGAATTTAGGACCTAAGACTGAATCTAAATACAAGCCTATAGGCTTCGGATCGAATAGCCTAATATGTAACTGATTTTTGCGTTTGAGGTTTCAAGGGCATATTTTCGAGTCTCAGAAGTAGGCAAAATGTTATTTGCTGTAACTATCCGCAATACCTGGCGATGACCGATACATTTAATATGCAGGATTCCTTGTGTTAACGTAAACAGGCGCATTTTGATCAAGTGACCACCATCTTCAATTAAAACTCGGAAGAGGCTTGGATAGAGACAAAAAAGTGACCTGGTAGTTAAGGTTAAGCCACAAGAGGAGTAAGGGGGAGGGGGTAAAGAACGAAAATTTTTCCCTTCTCCCTCACCGCCTACTATTCCTGGCGGCTAATCTACTCGATAGCAAGTCACTACCGATACCTCACGAGTACACCGTGCACACAGAAAACAGCTGTTCTGTAGGCTAGAAATAACCCGGGTTACATCTTTAATCAGGGATGCTTGACAAAAATAGTAAAACCTCGATGAGCCACACTGATCTGTAGCTGTCAGCGGTCTTTGGGTGATCTTCACCAAACAATTTAATTCTGATATCAAGAGCACGCTTGGCTGACTCAAGAGCGGCGGTGTAATCAC